GTGACGTCATGTTACTCCCATCCCTCCTCATCAGTCAAGGCTAATTTTGTTGGTTCTAACATTCCCCCTTTGAGGGGAAGTATCTTTCCACCTGTGGATTTGGTAAGAATTGCCTTTCATTACTGAAAAGTCTGGAATGCATTAAAACTGTCCAAAGAGAGTCTATATTTGGAGGGAAATTTTTTTTAAAAAAATCACTCCGGGGACCAGAGTGGGGAGGTCACTTGCCTTGCCCACTGCGGATCCAAGTTCAGTCCCCATCACCCTGTAGAGTCTCTTGAGCCCACCAGGAGTGATCCTGGTGCACAGCACCAGGGGTAAGCTCTGGTGTGCCCCCCCAAATATAATTTTGGGTGTGCCCCCCTGAATCACTCTAAGAATTTCACAGGAGCCCCAAACTCATTTCACTTTGGAAACGTATCAGGAATTCTCTTGGTTTCTGTAAAAACATTTACTATACACACATATACACACACCTACACACACAAAATTCAACTTCATTTTAAGAGAAAAGTACAGCAAACAAAATGGACTTATATTCCTGTCCTTGGGGTCAGTTCTCCCCGTGGACCTCAGGGCAACAGAATCAGAGGTGAAACCAGAACCTTGTCTACCTTTTCCCAGTGATTTAAAAAATAGAATAATGATTTTATATCGAATCACTGTGAATTACAGTTATACATGGTTTCTTGTCCGTACAGTGTCCCAACGCCAATCCCTCATCAGTGCCCACTTCCCTCCACCCATGTCCCCAGTTTCCCACCTGCATCCCAACCTGCCTCCATGCACTGTGGTTAATCATACTATTACTCAGGGTATCCTGCATAAGATAAGAAAGAGAAACTGAGAAGTTCTACATGGAGCTGGAGAAGTTCTATAAAGAAGATCACACCTTCTACAAGATCATTGTCGGTGATTTTAATGCCAAGATAGGACCAAGAAGATCAGTCGATGAACTCCACATCGGGACCCATGGCCTAGAATGGAACGAACAGGGTGACAGACTGTCTGAGTTCATCATGTCAACCAAAACCTTCCATGATAACTCACAGTTCCAAAAGGCTGAATCTAAACGTTGGACATGGGAGTCTCCCGATGGACGGTTCCACAATGAAATAGACCACATCATATTCAATCGGCGGTTTTGCCTAACCGATGTTGCTGTTGTCCCAAAATTCCAAACGGGATCAGACCACCGTCTTCTTCGTGCAAAATTCTACCTCACAGAACAAGGAGAAAAGAATGCAAGGTTTAAGAAGAGGACTCCCAGAACGACCACCAACTGGGAGCTCTTTGGCTCTGTTGCGGCAACATGGGAAGATGCCATCATTGACAACATTGATGAGGAATACGATCGAATGATTCAGCACCTCCATGATTGTGCGAGGAATGCCAAGAGAGAGATAACCACAAAAAAACCGCCTTTCTTCGAACACTCTTGAACTTATTCGCTAACGTGGCTTGGCGCATGCCTCAGGCAACCACAAGCGAACATCCGAACTGGCAAAACAGTGCAGAGAGGCCATCAAGGATGACCTCAAAAACAGGAGAACAGCAGTACTGGTAGATACGGCAGAAGCTGGGAAGAGCATTCGTAATGCCCACCTGTCCTTCACCAACTACAAAACCAAGATGACTGCCCTCCGACATCATGATGGATCTATCACATCTTCCAGAAGGGCAATGGAGAAGATTATTCATGACTTCTACTCAGATCTCTTTAATAGCCATGTCCACTTGCCCACATACCACGTACCACATGATGGATATGTCGTTCCCAATGTTCTCTCTTCCGAAATCCAACATGCCATCTCGTCGGTAAAGAAACAAAGAGCACCTGGCCCAGACAAGATTAGATCTGAACACCTGAAGAACTTACCATCAATACTCATCAATACATTGGCTCGGCTCTTCACACGCTACCTGTCTGAATGCAAGGTTCCATCCCAATGGAAAACCAGCAGGACTGTACTATTATACAAGAAGGGAGACATCCACGACATTGGCAACTATCACCCAATCTGCCTATTGTCTGTCGTCTACAAACTGTTCACTCGAGTCATCCTGAATAGGATTAGCAGAACACTAGATGAAGGACAACCATGTGAACAAGCCGGATTCCGAAAAGGATTCAGTACCATCGACCATATCCACATGATTACTAAGCTCTTTGAGGTTTCTTGGGAGTTCAAGATGCCGCTCTGTCTAACGTTCATTGATTTAAAGAAGGCCTTTGATTCTGTTGAGATGGAAGCGGTCATGGAAGCCCTAGCCAATCAGGGCGTACAAACTCAATACATCAGGATCCTTCGTGAGCTCTATTGCGGATTCAACACCAAGATCTCACCATTCTACAAAGAAGTAATCATCCATATCAAGAGAGGGGTTCGGCAGGGTGATACCATTTCACCAAAACTCTTCAGTGCCACCCTCAAGAACATCATGCGACGACTGGAATGGGAAAGCATGGGAGTGAAGATAGATGGTCGGCAACTACACCACCTCCGCTTTGCTGATGACATCGTTCTAATAACACCAAACATCAGCCAAGCGGCACAAATGCTGACCGACTTCGACTGTGAATGTGGAAAGGTCGGACTACAGCTGAATCTTACGAGGACAGTGTTTATGAGGAACAGCCTTGTTCCTGATGCTCCATTCGCTCTCAATGGAACCACCATCTCTGAATGCAACAGTTATATATACCTAGGTCGAGAAATCAACATGATGAATGACCTGGCACCTGAGTTGCGCAGGAGAAAGAAAGCGGCTTGGAATGCCTTCAAGAACATTGAAGAAATAACTAAAAGGACAAAGAACCTCCAGCTACGAGCACATCTCTTTGATTCCACTGTTCTTCCTGCATTAACATATGCCTCAGAGACCTGGACCCTATGAAAACAGGATGAGAACGCTATTCGGGTCTCTCAAAGAGGAATCGAAAGAGCTATGCTTGGAATATCACGATTCACTCAAATGAGAGATAGAATCCGGAGTTCTGATCTTCGTCAACGCTCAAGAATCAGGGACGCTGTCTCATTTGCCAAGACATCAAAAATCAGATGGGCTGGACATGCAATGAGGTTTACAGACAACCGCTGGACTAGAGCCATTACTGATTGGATTCCACGGGACATCAAAAGATCACATGGACGCCCACCTACAAGAGGGTCAGACTTCGTCGTCAAGACCCTGAATGATCGGTTTGAGGCTCTGCATGTTCCTAGAACGAATAGATACCATTGGGCTATGCTAGCACGCAACCGGGATGAATGGAGACGTTACTGGCACCCGCTCGAGTAAATCGATGAATAACGGCGATTAAGTGATTAAGTGATAAGTGATTAAGTGATCCTGCATACCACTCTACCCCCTTTCCGCATCCCAAGGTCATACAGAGAAACCCTCTTTCATTATCATGGTGGACTCTTCCCTAACCTAGCCCTCCTTCCCTACAATTGGCAAGTCATCTTCTCCTCCTCCTTCTTCTCCTTCTCCTCTTCTTCCTTCTTCCTCCTCCTCCTCTTCCTTCTTCTTCTTGCTCCTTCTCCCTCCTCCTTCCTTCTTCCTCCTCTTTCCCTTTTCTTTCTCCTTCCTCCTCCCACTTTTCGTCTTCCTCCTCCACCCTTCTCCTCTCTCCTCCTGCCTTCTCCCTCCTCCTTCCCTCCTTCTTCCTTCTCCCTCCTCATTCCTTCTCTCTCCTCTCTTCTTCCTCTTCCTCCTCCTCCTCCTCCTCCTCCTCCTTTTTGGGTCACACCCAGCGATGCTCAGGGGTTTCTCCTGACTCTGCACTCAGGAATTATTCCTGGTGTTGCTCGGGGAACCATATGGGATGCTGGAAATCGAACCCGGGTCGGCTGCGTGCAAGGCAAACAAACGCCCTCCTTGCTGTGCTAGATCGCTCCATTCCTCTGACTCCATGACTGATTTCTCTTGTGCTGTTTCCTTCCCAGCATTTTTTTTTTTTTTGCTGGATAGTGTGGGGAGGAGAGGAGGAGCGGTGTAGACCTATGTTTTTGCTCATTGTTCATGTGTTTGGGCCAAAACGGGGGTGGGGGGAGAGGAGAGGGCAGGGCCTATGTCCGGCTCAGTTCAGGGGGGGGTCTCCGTTGCTGGTGTTGGGGACCCCGCCTGGCTGAGGTTGGATCCCGCATCTCAAGTCTGCCCTCAGCCCTGCCGAGCCGTCTCTCCACCTTCCAGCGGAGACCAGTATGATTGATAAAGATAAAGACGGTTTCCTTGAGTGTAGTCTCGGGGTGCCAGGAAGGAGAGGGAGGGGAGGTTTTTGCTCACAGATGCTGGGGTTCCTCCGAGCCCCCTTGGAAACGTAGGCCTCGCTCCACCACATTATACAGAAGCCCCTGCAGAATAACATCCCTGGAACAAGCCCCTAGGGCTGCCTCACCGGTGGAAAGACGGTGGAGGGGTGAGGATGTTGGGAAGGACCCAATGGGGAAGCCCACAGATGAGCTGGAGGTGCAGCCACCAGGGCCAGCCAGGGCGCAGAGAGCATGCACACTTGCACCCGCTCCCCTGGCCACGGGCTCCCCCAAGAGCACCCGGCACCTCGCACAGCTTCCAGCCCTGGGCTTGTTTTTTGTGGACTGGACATAAAAAGGATGAGGCACTTTGGATTTGGGATTAGCCCCCTCCAAAAAAAAAAAAAGCAAAAGAAAACACGAGTGAGCCTTAGAGCAGAAGCCGCCGCCTGTGCACGTGTCAGGAGGCTACTCTGGTTCTGCCCCCCAAGCCCTTGACCATGCGTAGCCGCGGCCACAGGCGTCCCTGGACTCCTGGCAGGGACACGTGAGGCCAAGTGCGCATGTGCGGGGGGGAAGGGCTGGGAGCTCGCGCGTCCCGGCGTTGCTTGGTAACGTGCATCAGGACGCCTGTGCGCCCGCGTGTGATGCTGTCGGTGCGCGCGCACATGCGCAGTGGTCCAGCACGCGCCAAATAGCCGTTACCCGGGGGGTCCCTTGGCGCTGCGTCTCCATCCCGACCGTTGCGTTGCGCCGCCTCGCCATGGCCTCCTACAAGGCATCCCGGATCAAGCGGTTCCTGGCCAAGAAGCAGAAGCAGAACCGCCCCATCCCGCAGTGGATCCGGATGAAGACTGGCAACACGATCCGCTACAACTCCAAGAGGCGCCACTGGCGGAGAACCAAGCTGGGGCTTTGAGGCGCGCGCGCTGGGAGAGGGGGCGTGCACGCGGGACCCGGAGCTGCTGCCCGCCTCGAGGCCGCCTGTGCCCACCAGAAGGAGAAAGCAACAAAACACACCAGGAAAAGGAAAAAAAAAAAAGATGATGATATTGAAGATATTCACAGGCAGCGCCCCCGACCCCGCACCCAGGCCTCGCCCCATGTACCCCTACCCTCCCCGTCTTGGTCTCCACCTTCGCGTCGCCCACCCCTCCGGGGAAAGGTCCCCGCAGTGGCGCACCCCAAAACAGCTGCGCTTCCAGCATCGCCATTCCGTGCCCCGGGCACCCTCAGGCCGAGGACCGTTGCCTCCAGGAGACCCGGGGGCATCAGCGTGCACAAATCTAGGAAAGACGGTGAAAAAGAGATGTGGGGGTACGGGGACCCCCCAGAAGATACCGGCCAACCCTGCGCACACACCTGCCTGCGTGCCCGCAGATGCTCAGAGCCCCCGGGCGATGCGTCAGTGCGCCACCGCCTCTGCCAACACCATGTGGTCCCCGCCAGAGCCAGGAGTCTAGAGGAAAGACCCTGGAAAAAATGAGATCGAGGCAAAGGGTCATTTCCGTGACACTGGCTGCTTCTTTGCACCCCCGCATCCCCAGCCTCTGCTTTCCGGCAGGCGGAACTGAGACCAGTGAGGTGCGCACGTGCGCCCCCAGCGTGGACACCACCACTGTGGCACTAGGAAATACCCCAGACTAGAGATCGAAGTGGAGGGTTGGTTTCAGGGACACTGACTTCTTCGCACCCACATCCCTGGGTGCCTGCGGACGAGATCAAGACCAGTGAGATGCGCACGTGCGTCCCCAGCGCCACCGACCCGTGTGTTCCCTCCCTGTCAGAACCACAAATCACGGAGGTCCAGGTGCACAGATCAAGAGGCTGAGCCAGAGATACCCACATTCCAACGCCGGCAACACCCCTTCTCCCCAGCCACCCCAGCTCTCAGAGGTGGATGACAGAGACTCCCGACCAGACCCCCCACCCCCCACCCCCTGGTTCCCCCCTGGGGAGAAAGCTGCCCGATTCTCCTGCTCTTCGTATTTGTCGGGGAGGGGGACAAAAAGTTTCCTCTTGGAATCGTTTTCTGTTGTTGTTTTCGGGACCCTAAAAATGAAGCTTTTGTTTTTGAAGGAAAATGAGAAGTGTGAAGGGTTTCTTTGATGTGTTTGTCTTGGTCTTGACCACAGGTCGAGATGCCCATTTTGGGACAGCCCTCCCCCCTCCCCATTCTGCTCTGTTCAGCGACCTGATCCTGGGAGTCAGTCTGGCCTTGACCACCGGAAGTGGTGGGGTCCCAGGTGGGAGGAGCGCCGGGGAATGCAGAGTACCCAATGTGGGAGGGTGGGGTCCCCAGGGGTCTACACCCCAAGCTCACAAAAAGGAAGGAAGAGCTCAGGGAGATGGGTCTGCAGGGCTCAGCCAATGGACAGGCCTGTATCAGGATTTCTGGTTCGGGTTGGGTCACTTGGGTACCCAGGCTCAGGGGTCTGTGGCTGCCTCTGCTGTGCCCCATTGGACAGGGCAATGACCAGGTCCCACCAGCTTGGCAGGAAGTAGCACTGCACTGCACTGTCCTCCCGTTGTTCATCGATTTGCTCAAGCGGGCCCAGTAACACTGTGAGACTTCTTGTTACTGTGTTTGGCATATCGAATACGGTCACGGGTAGCTTGCCAGGCTTTGCAGTGCGGGCGAGATACTCTTAGTAGCTTGCTGGGCTCTCCAAGAGGGGTGGAGGAATCAAACCTGGGCCTACCGGGTCGGCCATGTGCAAGACCCACTGTGCTATCACTCCAGCCCATCAGGAAGTATGGAGTGGGAATTTTTTTTGGTAGAGGTTCCTGATAAGTGCTCAAGGGAGGCTGGGCTGCCTTCCTCGTGTGGTGAGCAGCCTCATCCCTGTGTTCTTTTGTGGGCCCAGAAGAGGGTGGGCACTGTGTTGGGCCAGTCTCGTGGAGGATGAGGGTGGCAGTTCCCCTTCGGGTGGTCATGGCTGATATGTGCTGGACACCAAGGGCACTCACGCACAGCACCACGCCTTACCCCCATTTCCAGACACAGCCAGATCAGAAACTTCTTTTTTTTTCAATTTCTTAATTTTATAAAGCACTTCACAATATTTGATTACATTTAATATTCAAACACCTCTCCCACTGCCATTACACCTTCCCAGCACCATATTTTGGGTGTTTCCATCCCGAACCCCAAAACTGGCCCCAGAGCAGAACCAAAATAATATTTCCCTCTAAGGTCGGTTGTCTCCTACTTTGAGTCCCATCAAATGTGGTGCGGTACTCTTGGAGTATGGGTAGGGTGTGTGCTATGAAGTGTCGTTGGAATGCGTTCGTGGCTGTGTGGTCCAGGAATAGGTTAACTCATGGGTGAGGCTTGGCCTGAGCATGTGGGGAGTGGCCCTGAGCAGGGCGGTGGTTGAGTTCTGGAGGTTTTCCGTTGCTGGGTGGGGCTGAGTCCCTTGGGGCAGGGAGGGCTCTCATTCACCCTCCTCTGGGGTGCCCCAAGTGAAACAGCCTGGCGTGGGGTCCAGCGGCATGGTTATGGTGAGCGTCATGTTGCTCCCTTTTGGGAGAGAAGGACATGTGATCTGGATGGTGGCTGATGACGAGATTATTTGGTGCCAGCCAGAGGTGACTTATGGGCGTGACTGCTGAGTTTGTCAGAGACAGGGGGGTATGGGCAGAGGATCTCTCTGTTCCCAGTCCTGTTGAACCCAGAGTTCTCAGTCACATAGTCTTGCAAGATCAGAAACTGCTATCGCGCGCGCACTCACACAAACACACACACACACATATCACTTGATCACTTGATCCCTCGTTATTCATCAATTTACTCGAGCGGGTGCCAGTAACGTCTCCATTCATCCCTGTTGTGTGCTAGCGTAGCCCAATGGCATCTGTTCGTTCTGGGAACATGCAGAGCCTCAAACCGATCATTCAGGGTCTTGACAACGAAGTCTGACCATCTTGTAGGTGGGCATCCATGCGATCTTTTGACATCCCGTGGAATCCAGTCAGTAATGGCTCTAGTCCAGCGGTTGTCTGTAAACCTCATTACGTGTCCAGCCCATCTGATTTTTGATGCCTTGGCAAATGAGACAGAGTCCCTGATTCTTGAGCGTTGACGGAGATTAGAACTCCGGAATCTATCTCTCATTTGAGTGAATCGTGATATTCCAAGCATAGCTCTTTCGATTCCTCTTTGAGAGACCCGAATAGTGTTCTCATCCTGTTTTCATAGGGCCCAGGTCTCTTGAGGCATATGTTAATGCAGGAAGAACAGTGGAATCAAAGAGATGTGCTCATAGCTGGAGGTTCTTTGTCCTTTTAGTTATTTCTTCAACGCTCTTGAAGGCATTCCAAGCTGCTCTCTTCCTCCTGCGCAACTCAGGTGCCAGGTCATTCATCATGTTGATTTCTCGACCTAGGTATATATAACTGTTGCATTCAGAGATGGTGGTTCCATTGAGAGCAAATGGGGCATCAGGAACAAGGCTGTTTCTCATAAACATTGTCTTCATAAGATTCAGTCCGACCTTTCCACACTCACAGTCGAAGTCGGTCAGCATTTGTGCCACTTGGCTGATGTTTAGTGTTATTAGAATGATGTCATCAGCAAAGTGGAGGTGGTGTAGTTGCTGACCATCTATCTTCGCTCCCATTCTTTCCCATTCCAATCGTCGCATGATGTTCTCGAGGGTGGCACTGAAGAGTTTTGGTGAAATGGTATCACCCTGCCGAACCCCTCTCTTGATATGGATGATTACTTCTTTGTAGAATGGTGAGATCTTGGTGGTGAATCTGCAATAGAGCTCACGAAGGATCCTGATGTATTGAGTTTGTATGCCCTGATTGGCTAGGGCTTCTATGACCGCTTCCATCTCAACAGAATCAAAGGCCTTCTTCAAATCAATGAACATTAACAGAGCGGCATCTTGAACTCCTGAGAAACCTCAAAGAGCTTAGTAATCGTGTGGATATGGTCGATGGTACTGAATCCTTTTCGGAATCCGGCTTGTTCACATGGTTGTCCTTTATCTAGTGTTCTGCTAATCCTATTCAGGATGACTCCAGTGAACAGTTTGTAGATGACAGATAATAGGCAGATTGGGCGACAGTTGCCAATGCCATGGATGTTTCCCTTCTTGAATAGTAGATATATATATATATATATATATATATATATATATATAAATCCCCAGGATCACCCCACACCAGGGGCACAGGAATTCTGTTGCCTTAAGGGACACGCAAGTCACATACCAGTTATGTTCCAGAAGCCCAAGGTATTTGGCACAGACGCAGACATGCAGGGCCCCAGAGCAAGTGTCTTGGTGTCTCTGTTCTTGTTGCCCTCTTGCAGAGAGCCCAGCATACCTGGGCCAGACCCTGACCTTGCATGTTATTCAGGCAGCCCACAAATCCCCACAGGGCCTTCCTCGGGGAGCGGAGGCACCTTATCAAGATGCTTGTATCTTCCCAAGCTGAACCTCAGTCGGGATGAAAAAGGGACCAAGATCGTGGCAACAGAGTCCCAGGCTTTTGTTGCTCCCAGCTGTCTTGTTTTGGGGTTATATCGAGCCGATGCTCAGGGTTTACTCCCAGACTAACACCCTTCCCTCAGTCCTGACTCTCCAGCCCCAGGTATGGCACATCTTAAACCAAAAGAGTTTTGCAGGTGCGAAAAAGTTCAAAGACTTGGGCCGGAGTAATAATACAGCAGGGAGGGCATTTGCCTTGCACGTGGTTGACCCGAGTTCAATCCCCGGCACCCCATAGGGTCCCCCAAGCACTGCCAGAGTAATTCCTGAGAGCAGAGCCAGGAGTAACCCCTGAGCATTACTGGGTGTGATGACCCAAGAAATAAATTAAGTTCATTGTGTGTGTGTGTGTGTCTCTCTCTCTCACACTCTCTCACTCCTCTCTCCTCTCTCCTCTCTCTCTCTCTTCTCTCTCCCCCCTCCCTCCACTCCCTCCCTCCCTTTTTGGGCATTGTGGTTTGCAATACAGATACTGAAAGGTTATCAGGAATATCCCTTTACCTACTCTT